CCCTCTATTAGTGTTTTTAATGTGATGCTCATGTAGTTGGAGGCAGTTATTGAGTTCTAAGTAGGAACATCTGGAAGAAAATAATTTTCCATGCACACTGAAGTGTGCTGGGCAGCAGCAGTGTTTGGGAGGGACAGAGTGGAAAATGTCTGGCTAAAATACACTCAGTGCCTTTGGGTGAGGGCAGCTCTGGGTGCAGCTCCTGGAGGACAGAGAGTTTCATTCCTGCCTGTGGAGACACATCCCCATCCTGCTGGGCTGTTTCCACCTCCCCACCTCATCTTTCCTGCTGGAAATGGCTCCTTGGCTCTTCCCTGCCCTGAGCTGCGGCCCAGCCAGGGCTGCCACCCTCTCCTTTTGCGTTTTGCCATTTTCTGCACAGACACAGAGATGCTGCTGCTTCACCTGCATCTTGGAGATGCTGCTTTTCCCCCACTGGGCTCTTGGTTTGCTTCAAATCCTCACATTTCTTCTGTCTTAGTTTGATTAGTTTCATTCAACTGGTGGAAAACAAAGTTAAGGCAATGGCTGCTCTAAATTAGGTGTGCACTTTATCTGAACTCAGTGTCCTCATGACATAAACCTGTAACTGCAGTGATATAGAAGTCACCAGAAAACTCGGATTTGATTCAGAAAGTACTTAAGAAGTGAGAAATGTTAATTTTTTAGGTCTAAACTTTTTTTTCAACTAGTCTCATACTTTAATTTTATTCTATTGTATTTTTTTTTAATTTCCTGTCAGACCAGCCCTAATGAATAAATCCAGATTGCAAATTGGGAAATATTCTTCCTGAAGACGTAAGGTTAAACCAAAGCCAAGGAGACCCTGGCTGTAGGCCTGGTGTTTAAAACACCAGCCATTTGTTTGTTATGGGCATCCACACTCACACAAAACTTTATTTTCCATCTGGCTGTCGCATTTTTCTCCTAAGACTGGGTATCCCATCAACATTCTTCCTGAATCATCCTTCACAAGAAATTCCACAGCACTTCACCACTCCTGCCATCTGTCTGAAATCCTTCCCTGATAGCAAAATAGCATTTCCTTTGTCTTCAGCAGACTTGGCAATGGGCAAGCCCACAAACCTAACCCAGAGCCCTTTGTATGAATGTCAGAAGGGATGAGGATGGTTCTTAAGGTGTATTTTGTTGGATTTCACTTTGGCATGTGAGATGTAAATGCTGTGAGAGCAGGAGACTTTAATCCCTTTGGCCAGCAGGAATTGAGCCTTTGCCTTCTAAAACTGCCCCCTCCTAGAACACATGCAAGCTTGCAAGGCAGGAAATAATAGAGAGACAATTATTCATCCGAGTATTAATACTTCTTCTGATATGATTGTTTTTATTTTTGTGGAGCACAGCTTACTTTGGAGCTGGCCAGCCTTTGGAAGCTCTCCATCCCCAGATCTGATCTCCAAAACAGGAAGAGGATTTGACAGGCACATGCAGCACTATGGGCAAACACAAAGCACCACGTAAAGGGCTGGCCCTGGACCAGCTTTGTATGTGATGTTGAAACATTTGGTGTTCTGCTTAAGGTTTCTGCCAGGAAACATCTGTGAGATTCTGCTGCAGATAACACAAAGTGTTTGATCAATCCTACCTAGAGAGGCACTGGGAAAGGCTTCACTGCAGAATCAAAGGGTGCCCATGTTGGGATAGCCTGGGTGACCTGAGCCTTGCAGGGCTGTTTGCAGCACCTTGCTGGAGGTCCCTCACCATTTCCTTCATCCATCTCCTCTCCATTGGCTGTCACAAACATCTAAACAGGAATTTTGTTTTAAAGAATCTTTTACACCCTGTTTATCCCATGCAGGTTGATGGATTATTTAGCTTACTGACTGAAGCAGAAGTCATTGAAATTATTTCTGGCTGACTGGCAAATACATTCCAGCTCTCTTTAACAGAGAAAGCCAAACAAAAATAGAAGGATGAAAGTTAGTGCAAAAGAAAAGCCCCCAAAGCACTCAGTGCAAACCCTGCTCACACTGAAAGCCTTTTCTGCTCCTGGTGAACAGGAGAGAAGCTTGCAGCAGAGCTTGGTGCTGCTTGGCCCTCCTGTGACACTGTTCCAGCAACCTCTCAGTGATTAAAATAAGGCTCCAACCTCAGGGCAGGGTCAAGCAGCCCCTGCTGCTCCTGGAGCCTCACACCAGGCTGGGGATCAGCAGGAGCTCAGTGGTGTAAGGGAAACTGCAGCTCACAAAACCTTTCTTTTTCCTTTTCCCCAACAAAATTCAATAGAGAAGTGACAGTTTTTCCTCCCTCTGGAAATCAGTGCTAATGGGCACTCTTGGTTTGGTTTCCCTGCTTCCCTGGTGCTGAGCCACACAGGACCAAAAGAGCAGAGTGTATTTATTCCAAATGCCACCATGCTGCCATTGGGGCAGCACAGAAATGTCTCCAGTATTTAACTGCTGCTCCCTTAAGCAGCAGGCCAAGGATTTCCAGAAGAAGATGATGTGTTTGTCCCCTCCTGCAATAAGAAGAAAACAAAACTGTTGGGTGTGATGTTCTCACCACCCTGATTTGACACCTTTTCTATAATTATCCCCCTGTGTGGCTGCAAACACCCCTGGAGCAGGTGACTTATCTTGCTTTAAACATTGTTACTTAGCAACTGAGGTCAAAAATGCAGAGATTGGTGTCCTGAACAGCAGTTGCTGCTCCTGAGCACATGTAATGTGTTTTCTCCTACCTTCCATGGCATCACTGAACTGGTAAAACCAAAGGAACATTCTGGGCAGCAGAAACTTCTGCTTCAGGAGCCAGGTGTGGTCCTGGCACTCCTCAGTGTTGCTCCCAGCTGGGCTGGAAGGTCCGTGAGCAGGAGCCCTCTCCCTCTCTGTGCCATGTGCTGCCCTGTGGCAGCCCAGGCCTGTTCCCAGCCCAGCAGCACAGCAAAGCCCAGCTGAGGGTTTGCAGGAGCACACCTGGAGCATCCCAGCCGAGCTGGGTTCCTGTGTGCACACATCAAATGCTCACGTTGGCACAACTGGCGTTTAGTAAAACTGTCCTAAGGACATTTTAGTTACAGGTTACAGCCTCTGCTTAGCACAATGTCTAACTGTGCTGCTGAAGAGAAGGTCAGAGCAGGAGGAACTTGTGTTGTTTCCTTACTGTGCCCATTCCCTGTCACTTTTTGGAGAGATTCTTGTTTGTCTTGTGTCTCTCAATCACAAGTTGCCTTAGCAACAGTCAGACTGTGAATGCATGGAGGAGCTGCAATTAAACCACTCTTGCACCTTATTTTCCCCACAGAAATTGTAGAGGTACACAAGCAGCACCTTTCCTGGTGTGATGTTGAGAGAGATTTAGAACATTACAAACTACACAAGTCAAAAAAGGCAGCATGGTTTGGAGAGGATGTCTGTCCCAGTGGCCACAGCTTTTATAGGTGTAAATCAGGGAGTCCAGGTTGCAAAGGCTTTGTGTGGGCATTGCACAGCACACTGTGAGGTCTGAGCACTATCAGAAAATGGAGGTGAAGTCTAATTGCTGCATTTTTCTTCAGTATCAGCAAATGGCTCTTTTCCCCAGCAGTTAATTAAGTCAGCATAGGAAGAAGAAAGTTTCACTTGGCTATAAAGAACCCTCCCCTCCGGATTCCACGTCCCGTGCTGAAGTGCCGAGGACAAACCAAATGACAAGTGTTCCCAACACCAGTGTTCTCCTGTGCAGCCTCCAGCACTGGCCACTCCCTGCTCCAGGCTCTCCCAAAAAAGCCAAATTCTTGGGCTATGATAAACTGGCAGGGCTGGAACAAGCTCCCAGGATTTAATAACCAGAGCTGGACTTTGCGTGTGGCTGCCCTGAGAGGCTGACAGTGAACGCTCCCAACTGCAGGGATCCCCCCAGGGCCTTGGCCAAGTAATTCTGGTTTGTCCCTCACATCATTCCTCACATGTTTCAGGTTGAGGGAGAGTACAATACAGCACCAGAATGAAAACACAGTTTTACTTTTCTCTGAGAGGCTGGCTCACCTGGGCAGGGAGTGAGCAAACATGGAATTCCTCTCTCTGTGCCAGTGCGGGGCAGTCGCTGTGGTTCGAAGCCAAAGCTGATGAGAGCTGATTGTGTGATTGGAGGGAAGAATTCCTCTGGGGAGGTATTTAGCCCTGCAAAGAAACCTGGGACAAGCAGGATGTTCCCTAAGCAGGAAGGAATGGGGAACTACGCAAGGCATGAGCGCCTCTGGTCACGAGCCCTCAAATGGGAATCTGAGAGGGAAACAAAGGGCATTGTGTGGGGTGGGGAGCTCTGAAACTGCAGCTGAGTCCAGCTGAGAACCACCACGGCCTTACAGGAAACCCCACACTGGTTTGGCAGTGCTGCTGATGGTGGGGATGAGGTGTTTCAGCTCAGAGCCACCTCCCCATCACCCAGGGCTCTGCTGGGGCTCTGTGGGGCAGCCTTGAGCACGAACTTGGCTCCTCCACGGCTCCGCTTTGGTTGTGACTGCAGCATTTTATCTCGTTATGAAAACTGCTGTAATCAGAGTGTCCTAGACCCTCTCCCTGCAGCTTGAAGGCAAACTGGGAATGTGGATTGTTGGTGCATTTTGAAGGGAAAACGCTCTGATAAGAGGTGAAAGGTTTGGAGGTAGCGAGAGGTTGATATGAATGCAAATAAAATCTATTAACAAGAAGTTTTGGGGAAACTTTGACTTTTAGATAATGAGAAAGGGATTGGTTTGTTTTTTGAAGTACAGAGAAGCACATTTTCCTGATTTCTCTTCTACCCCAAATGTAAAACATCTTTTATTGAAATCAGAGTAGTTATTGCATAACCAATGAAAGTAGAATTAATAACCTTTGATGAACAAAATCTCTATTTTAAATTAATCAATAACACATGGAAAAACCCTGAAATTGTTTTTAATTTGTTTGAAAAATTGATTCTCAAATTTTCTTGAAAATCAACAAAATTGTTGATTTTATTTCTTCAGACAGAAAATTGACCAAAAGCCAGTTTAAAACAAAATAAAAGAACAACTGGCATGTTTTGTAAGTCAACAATTTTTTATTGCCAATTTATTCCCTCAAAGTGTGGGGCTGTAAAATCTGGATTGTTAATGGGATGGAGAAGCACAGATTTCAGCTACCTCTTCATTGCAGTGGGTATTGCCAAGCTAATAATGCAGTTACAGGGTGCTGCTTTCAATGAGGGGTAAGTTGTGCCAAAAAAAGCAACACTCATAAATTAGGTCATATATTCAAGTTGTCCAATTGTTTCATGTACCAAGTTTACTGAGTATTTTCTTTAAGGGTAAAGAATAACCAAAGGTATGTTGTACAGACTATTCTTCAAAACAAGTTTCCAAAAATAATAAACACAGGAAAGCACGTTCATATCAGTTATTAAAAACTCAGCTAATGGAATTTAAAGTAATTTTTTTTTTTGTAATAGAAGAGGGGAAAAAATTATCCTTCTTTTCCAGGAGAGCTTTCTATGTTAAATTGCACTCATGTATGAGAACTGTAAGAATGCTACACTTTCAGCAGGGTAAATGAAGTTATATACCATAGCCTACAATTTAGACCATGCATATTTTACGAGTAAGGAGAAACCATTTATGAAAACAGGAATCCAACTGCTGATGAGGATGAGGTGCAAGGAGTGTCCCTGTGCCAACAGCAATTGTTCTCACTGCTTCAGAAAGGGGGCACAAGCTCACAGGGAGCTGCTCCTGTTTCCTTGCCCTTCAGCTCTCAGAGGCAAAGCACAAACTGTGTCCATCGATTGCTTTGCAGGTACATTTACTGTATGCATTTCCAATCATCAAACCAAAGGCTGGGATTTGCTTTCTGTCCAATAATCCTCATTTTCTCTGAAATGGGAACTATTGATCCCTTATGTTTCACTTTAATCCAGACTCTTTATTGCTGAACAAATTCTTTGAAATGTGGCTGTAGGATCATCCTTTCTAAATTAGAGTTTCTCTGCTTGGTTTCTTTCCTGATACAAGCAACTAGCAGAGCAGAAGTGCTCTCCACATTGAAAGCAAACAAACAAACAAACAAACCTGATTTTTTTATTAATACTCAAAAGTCTAGTCATTGAGTTAAGATGAATGCCCACAGTCTCTATGCAATTTATCCTTAAGTGCTTAACAGGCCAAGTGAAGAGACTTGAAAGAACATTCTAAGTAGCAACCCAAGCACCACAGAGGCCAGCATGATCTACCTAAAATAACTCAAACGCTTTTGAGGAATGGCTACAGTGTTAAATATTTCCACCTATTCATCCTGTACCAACCCAGCTCAGAGCAAACCAGGCTGGAGGCTGGGGAGAGCAGAGATACAACAGCACAAGACTTCTGGTTTATGTCCTTAGTAATACTCAGGGCAGGGTTAACCAGCAAGGCAGAACACAATTAAGTTGATCTAGTAATATTGGTGATGTTGCCTTACTCAGCAAATCCTCTTTCTGTCATATTAATTATTTGCTGAAGCCATTTGCTACTTAAACTGTGAAAGCTGAAATGCATCTGTGATTTTTCCTTTTAATCTTTGGCTAAGGATTTTGTAGTAGATAATCCAGCAGAGAGTGTATGGTAGGTCTGTGATTTCTTTTGCCAAATGTATCTGTGAATGAACCTTGCAGCTCTGAAAACACAGAGCCCTTTACAATTATTTGCCAAAAAAGCAATTACAAGCTGCTTGGAGGCTGGTACTTGTGTGCAGTCTCCTTCTATGTTATTGTTAGCTTTAAAGGGAATTAATCAGGGGGTGAAGCAGAGCTCCCATCCAGAGCTCAGTCAGGATGCTGGAATATGTTTGCACCCCTCAGCACATGGGTGGAAATGTTCACTTGAAACAATGCAGGTGGTCAGGCCATGCCCTGCCTCACACCAATTCCCAGGGCTTCCCCTGCCCTGGCAGCTGCCGCTGCTCCCACACAGGAAAGGGAATTATTCCAGGGACTGTGCCTTAATTACAGCCTGGCAAAGGGAGTTTGTGTCTGTGGAGTGTCAGTGCTGCAGAGGAACGAGCCCTTCTCCAGTCCGCAGCATGAGTTAAGGAGCGACACTGGAAGCAGTGCACAAATAATCAGAATTATGACTACAACTGCAGGCTCCACACACTCATCTGCTCCTCTGCTCCAGCTCCAGGGTACTGCTGCTCTCAGTGGAATTTAATTCAGTCCATGTGAAGGCTGAGTGATGGTCAACTTTGCATTCTACACCTAAAATCTTGTTGGAAAGACTGCAGACTGGCTGGTGCTGGCTGTAAGGAAGAACTATTTCATAATGGGCGCACAGATGTCCTCAGCAAAAATTAATAAAGCTCATCAAAACCTCCTTTGCTGCCCAGAGAAAAACACTCCTTGAGATACAGAAAAGCACGTTTTTAAATGGAAACCAAAGTATCTTGTATCATGTAAGCAAAGGTGTCTTTTTTGCCACATGGAACTGTTCCTTACTATGAAAAGACTTTGTTGCCTTCGTTGGTCAATTCTCTTGTAATTTTTTCAGCAGTAATAACAACAAGGAGAATCGTGAATGCTTTCCACTTCCAGGAGGGCTTTACAAATGAGAGACTTCAAGGTGTTTTTTCCTTGGCAGCACTGTTCTTTCACTTGAGCCTTTCCATTTGGTTCAGTGGAGGCTGCAGGGCTCCAGGTCAGCACAGAAGGACCCTCCTGGGTGAAGGGCAGCTGTCAGTCTCTCCTAAAAACCACAAGTTTTTTCCTTGGACACTCCAACCTGATGTGTTTTGGCTCTGTCCAGGCAAAGAGTTAATCCTTACTCTACAGAAACCATTGGGAAGCTGAAAACTACGACAGCGAAGTAACAGCAAAATTCAGCACGGGAGGAGGATGAGAGGGAACATTGTATTTGCCAAGGGTTTTTCCTGTTGTCGCACCAGAAGAGGAAAGGTGATAAATTCCTGATCACTCCCTTTTGTGCCTGCACCTGAGCACTGCAGCATCAGCAAGGAGGAAGAAAAGGCAGAGATCTGAATGGATGAGACACCAGATGTGAGAAAGCATGGAAGGAAATAACAGCCAAAACGCTGAGAAAGAAAGGAAGCAGCGTCGTTCTTTTTTCACCTTTTAATGAGGCTGGTGTGAGCACCCCGGGGCCTCAGCAGCAGCTTACGGAGGGCCCTGGAGCCGCCAGCCCAGGCTCTGCCTTTGCTCCTGGGGGACACGGAGGGACGGGGAGCGCAGAGCAGGCACAGCCCGGGGCACTGGTGACATCTAGAGGATGTCACTGCGGCTTCGGGCACCAGCCGCAGCTCCGAGCAGGGCAAGGAAGGAAGGGAGGAAGGAAGGGCTGCCCGGCCATGGGCATCTCCGGCTGCCAGCTGAGCCCATCCCACCGTGCTGGAGCACAGGAGAGCGCCAAAATCCGCTCCGTGTGTGCCTGCCCTGGGGAAACGCTCCACTGCAGCTGCAGAGCCACCAGCGAGGGTGTGAACTGCACTACTGCGAGCAAGGAACAGAGCAAAACTGCTCCTTCACTGCTGTGACTGACTTAGCAGGAGCCTGTGCCTGGGGAAGCTGTGACACCGTCCCCAGGCCGTGACAGAGTGTGACAAGGAGCAGAGGCAGCTGCTGTGCCCTGGGAGCATCTCCCCTGTTCCCCCCACAACCATTGATGGTATCCTGCCCTGGGAGCAGTGCACAAATAATCAGAATTATGACTACAGCTGCAGTGCATGGACGCCTCTATTTCCTGCAGTGCCAATGACAGGCAGGTGTCACACAACAGAGAAGGTGCAGTGGGAGCTCCAAGTGCTCTGCAGGGCTGCTGCTTCCAGCTCTTGTGGGAATGTCACTGCAGTGCCTTCCTGAGAGCCTGGGCTTGCTCAGCCTCGTGGTGCTGGCGGCTCCCACTGTCCCTTGGCTCAGGAGTGTGCTGGCACAGAGGCTCAGTGGCAGGGCTGCCAGGCTGCTCCAGGCTTGCTGGCAGTGGGGACAGCAGCCTTGCCCACATCCCCTGCCCTGCGCAGCCAGAGGTGCTTTCATGTCCTGTGCTTTTTTTACCAGAAAAGTAGATCTCTTGTTTCTCTGACATTTTCTCCTTTAAAGCTGCATGAGAACAGTGAAGACTAGCAGGCAAAGTCAGCCTGACCCAGTGCTTCAATGGCAAATATTAAACTGCAGCACTCAGAGAAATGATGAAATCTCTACTGGTAGAATTTAACAACCTACTTACACTGGAGCCAACCAGGAGAGATTTATAAAGCTGTAAAATCAGCTAATTCTGTTTTAAATTATTTCAGAACCTGAACAGCACAAGCTGTCTTTAAAATCAAAGGGCAAATTTGACATTAAAAAATGAGATTATACATTGTGGCCAAAATTAAATGCTGTTGACCCAATCATATAACAAGTATTTGTGAGGAATAGCAGGGACAAGGATTTCTGGGATTGTTTCCACTCAAAGAGAAAATTGATGGTCGTCTCCTTTCCTCTCAAGCCTTCTAGAAGTCCTCTTCCACATGACATCCTCCCATGCCCACAACACCTCCCTGCTGCTGGTTTGCCCTTTCTCTTGCTCACAAAGGGCTGTGAGGACCAAACCAGCTGGGCCCCACGTTTTCAGAGTTTTTCTCAGAAAACCCCTTGGGCTGCTGAGTCAGGCCTGGGACTTGCCACACTTCAGGTTTTAGTCACCCCAGGCAGAGCTCTCTAACTCTCCATGCCCAAGGCTGGCAGAGCAGCCTGCAGCCCTGTCACCCACTGCAGCTCAGCCTGGTGTTAATTCCGTGAATAAGAGCCTGACACACGACACAGGGTTTGCAGCACGGGGCTCCCAACCAGAGCAGGATGCTGGCTGAACTCCAGCACGTACAGTTCTCTGCTTATTACACTAAACATTGCAGCTATGTTATCCAAATTGTACATCTGAGTAAGAGTTCGCTACTTCAACCGAAACGCTGTGCTCGGGGCTTACTTGCTTTTTCCAAAAGGCTGTGAGATGTTTGCAGACACTGATTCAGAAATGAGTGTTCGTGTCCCACTGCTTTAATTACTCACACGGAGCGAGGAACGCGCTCGCAGTGGAGCAACACGGGCGGGCTTCAATTTATCCTTCAGCGAGGCGACTCGTGCTCCTTCAGGAGCTGAAGGACGGGGTGGGGATTGCCTGTTTCGCAGGGATCACGGTCATTGCCGGCTGAGTTTCGCGGCTGCTCGCCCTTGCTCCGGCCGGCGCTGTCTGTCCGTCCCTTATCGCCGCCCGTCCCTCGCTCCTGCCGCTATCTCCCTGCGTGAAACCACACGGGCTTGTTTTTTCCTACCGGGCTCGATAAGAGCCAACAGATGTCAGTGCAGCCTGAACAACACGGGCCGTGCTCTGCTCGGGGCTCTGCCCCTGCAGGAACATCCCCGGTGGGAGATGTCCCCCGGGACACCGGGGCGAGGGGGAGAGCGGCGCCCGGGACGGGACCGCTGTGCCAGGGGAGGCTGCGCAGCTAAAAATACCCGCAAAGTATTTTTAAAAACACGTTCGAGGGTCCTTATAAACACACAGAGTTTTGTTGACAGAACAAGACTGCTCATTTATGCCGTGTATTATCCTTGAAAACCTGCTCTGTTTGTGCAGGGAGTCCCATGACAACCTCGGCTTGCTGTGATCTCAACAACAAATGTGTCCCTTTATCTGCTGGAGAGGGACAGGGGGGCAGCAGGAAGTGTCTGCAGGCTGTAGGAAAAGCAGTTAAGAAATGGAAATAAGCTGCTTTATCAAAATATTGCTTTGCTATTTTCACAAGTGCAATCCCAGTGGCTCTCTAGCCCAGCTCAGGGCACCTCTTCTGTGGCAAGTCGATGCTAGATTTGTGTGTAGAGCCCAGGAAAACCAGTGGGATTGGCTCCATCGTCTGGTTAAGTGATGTCTGAATGGAGGGAATTTGACAATGGGGTTTCATCTTTTTGCCATAAATATGTTTTCAGGTGACAGCTCTAGGACAGAGAAGGCCTCTCTAGGGAAACTCACTCATGGTCCATTACTGGGGGTGGGGGAAAGTGAAAGCATTTTCATATTCCTGAGGCAAACTGGGTCATGAAGCCACAAACCAAGATAGTCAGGGGAAAACCAACCATTAAGATAGCCAAGGGGAAAGGTAGCGAGTTTTATTGTATTTGAGAGTGAAAAGTTTGTACTTTGGAGTTTGGATGGTGACAGTGGCTGGTTCTGTGCCTGGTCTTCTATCCCTCACTGCAGTGTCAGGACCAGAAATGCTGGATGAAAGATCTCATGGAAATCTCACATCTGCACAAAGAAAATCAGGATAGTAGTGAGTTGGATGCTTAACTACTCAGCTACACACCACGCACAGTGAAGTATTGAGCTTTGCTCCTGGAGCCCTGGACCTCTCCCTGTGGCTGATGGGAACCAGGATGGACTGAAGGGTGTCGGTCAGAGCTGGCATTTTGATCAGGACATTGTCCCCTCCCCAGCTGTATCCACATGCTCCAGTCTCTCCAAACAAAGACTTTGCCTTTTTTGTACTTGGAATGGTCTTCAGTGTCGCAGATGGAGGTGGCTTTGCTCAGCCCATGCCCCATGAGCACAGGTGGAAGCTGAAAGCTGCTGAGCAGTAACAGCAGCACAGTTTGCTGACCATGTCTTGAGTCACTTTGCCATGCCTAGAAGCACCAATACCTCTTGTCATTTTATATCTGAAATACATTTCAAATGGAGCTGATTCTACCTATCGTGCCTTATCTGTGCATCATGATGTTTACTTTACAGATGAGACACCTTTTAGGTTAAGAGATGTGATGAGGGCAGTGATGGTGGCTTTGTAGTTATAGGTATCAGGAGCTCTTGATTTTCAGACTTCTTCAGAAAGAAGACAAAAAATTAACAGCTTAGATTGATACTTTAACAAGAATTTAGGAATCCATTATTGAAATTGGGCACTTGGCCACTATTTTCGACCTAAACTAAAATGCAGGAAACAGAGAAATGACAGCAAAATAAGAGTTAAGAGAAGGAAAGAACTAAAAGCAAAGACCAGATAGAATCCTCTTCAACTAAAATTAACTGAAAACTCTCACAGTCTGTAGTGGGTGTTCAGTCATATAAACACTGAGCAAATCCCACAAATGTAGAGTCCTCTCCTTATGCCCTAAAAAGCCTTGTTATGTAACTGGTGGCAGGATTTATTTTCAGGGGTGCTCAGCCCCCTTTGTTGCTCCAGCCAGACTGTGCACAGCAGCCTCAGGGCCCATTCCAAGAGCTAAACCTTTACTCAGATGTCTTTAACCACCGTGCCAGGCTACAGCCACCTACACTGGAAAAGCTGAGTGCAGCCTGGGCCCCAGAGAGCCCTGCCAGTGGCAGGGCAGTGCCAGCAGCAGGGCTGACATGTGCTGCTTTGCATCAAGAAATGGGGCTTGTACATGTGGACCACTCATTTTAACAGCAGCGGGAGTCTCAGTTATCAGTTATTTTCCCTCCCAAAGTACAAATAAATGCAAATTTTACTCATCTACATTTCTCTTGCTGTCGTGTTTCCTAGTGTTGATCCAAGTTTTTTTGCCCGTGTGTTCATGTCTCTACTTTTAACGCTGCAGTCTCACAGTTGTTGCGTCTTTTCTTAATACTTTTTGTATTATCAGATGGCCCATTCTGCTTTTTAACCTCTCCATCTCTTCCCCACCGTTGCAGGTGGTAGAAACAACAGAATAAACATGCAGAGATCTGCAGCCCAGTGCTCAAGGAAAAGACAACTCTCTCTACCCCCTTCCTCCCTCCTGAGAGTCAGGGAAAGGCAGATCTTGAAGGTAATTTCCTCTTCTGTCTTTGAAACTGTGTGTGATGTCAAAAAGCTGTCACTCTGTCTCATGCAGCCTTCACCCAGGTGAAACATGTGAGTTCACCCTTACTGTCACTCTTGGCCTCTAATTAATACTGGTGTAAGCAGGGAAGTGACACATTGGCATAGTTAACAGCTGGAATTCAAGTAACTACATCCATGCTGTAACCATGGGCAGGGCCACAGCCAGGGGTACAGCAGGATGTGAAATTTCTGATTTCCTGAAACAAGTAATTTGTAAGTTTTATGAGTTATTCTAGGGGTTTGGAATAATAGGATGCGGGAAAGTCTGTTTTCCACTTTGGAATCCTACTTTATTTTCAGATTTCTACTTCAGAGGATGGACATTACAGGCAAGGTGGGCTTGGTGTGCTTTGCTGAACTTGTCACCTGCACTGGCAAAGTTTTCAGAGTAACCAAACCAAGACAGGCTGACCTTAAACTTGTCTTGCTGTGAATTGCACCAGCAGGAAAACTCTGCTTGCCTACCCTCAGAGCCAAGAGAACAAATTTATAGGCTGAATGTTCCTACTAGTTTGTCATTTTAGTTTTTGGGTTTGTTTGTTTTCTTCACAGTCCTCAAGACAGTTCCCTTTCCTTTTGGCAGGTGCCACATGGACAGATCCCCACAAACCAGCCTGTTTCAAAGAACTGTCCCGTCTGTAAGTAAAAGATTTGTCTCGTCTCAATGTCTCTCCAAAAGGCACAGGAAGAGAAAGAAAACTATTAATAATCTTCTAGGCTGACCTTTAAATTTTCTTGTTATATTACATTCTCAGGGGTGTGTTCATCAGAAGAACGAACTCTGGGTCCCAGAGGAAAAGGCATTACAACAGTGGAGGCAGAATGAGTCATGTGGGCATCTTGAGCCTGATGTGAGATGGATTTATTCCTGCAACAGGCAGCAACTGCTGTCAAATCCTGGGCTAGCAGTGATGTGCAAAGGGAACTTCCCTGCTGTGTAGTGATTTCATTCTTACACATACTAATTACTGTACCACTTGCAGGAGATTTTGAAAGAGAAATTTGCATCAAGAAGACACCTAACTTGTGAGCAAGCACCGAGAGGGGAAATGGAGATTTCAGTGAGAACCACATGGGCTATTTGCAGAGGACAGGCTACAGCACAGAGAGCTGATTGCAAAGCTTCAATTCCAGAGTGCAGGATGTGTGGCCAGGCCCCAGAGAGCATTAGTCATCTCATAAGTAAATGCTCAGAGCTGGCCGGAGATGAGTACAAATACAGCATGACAAAGCTGGCAGTGCTGTGCACAGCCCGTGCTGCCAGGGAAGGGGGTACAGCCACAATCAGCATCACCACCCCAGGCCAGGTAAATTGAGAGAACTGAGAAGCTGAACGTGAAGTTTGCTGTCAGAAGGCAGATGTGGTGCCTCCAGAGGAAGTTCATCAATTACTTCTCCACTGGATGACGGCATTGGTAGAAAATAACAAGTAGTCACTGACAAACATGTGTGGCAGGAAGTGAATTAAAAATGGGGCACGAAAATGGCACAGATCTTAGTGTCCTGCTCTCCAGTGGGCTCGGGTGTTGTGTCGAGGAGCTCAGGCGCAGTGTCCAAACCAGACACGAGCTCTCGGCGGAGCAGGGCTCTCCCTGGCACCGCAGCATCCTCACGATGGGATGTCGGCTCAGGTCCCGACCTGGCAAAAGCCAGGGTGAAACGTCAAACCGGCGCTGGCTCCGCTGCCTTGGGGCAGCGCTGACCCCCGGCTGTCGCCGCAGAGACTCCGCGGGTCCCCGCCGGGCCCGGGACGCGACCCCCGCCGCTGGTGGGGGGCAGGCGGGGGGCGCGGGAGCCGCTCCCCCGCGGGGCCGGGCTGCGGCGGGGGCCGCTTTCCAGAGAATACGGTAAACATGTCCGCATCACGTGCGGCCGCTCCCGCCGGCCGCGGCGCGGGACCGGCCGGGAGGGCGGGACGGGACGGGACCCGCGCTCCGCCGGCCGAGCGGGGCCGCTTTAAGAGGCCGCCGGGCGCCGCCGCCTCGCCCTGCCCGCCCCGGCGGAGAGCGATGCCCGCGGCGCCGTAGGGCGGGTGGCTCCGGCACCATGGGGCTGTGCTACAGCCTGCGCTCCCGCCTGGCCGCCGCGCACCCCTCCGCGCCCTACGGCAGCCGCGGCGAGCCGGACACCCCCGCGGCGGCAGAGCACGGGGACCCGCAGGTGCGGCACCGGCTGCGGCAGGACCTGGTGGCCAAGGAGCGGGCGGACAAGAAGCGGAGCAAGAGCATCGACAAGACGCTGAAGGCGGAGAAGCGCGAGTACAAGCAGACGCACCGGCTGCTGCTGCTGGGTGAGCGGGGCGGCGCGGTTCGGCTCGGCCCGGCCCGGCAGGTGCCGGGCCCGAGGCCGCCGCCGGTGCCCGAGCGGGCGGAGGGGGCGGCGGCCGCGGGGGCACC